AACTAGCACGAAATCGTTTCCATTTTCATTTTCGACAGATTGAATTTGAAAATTTTCTTCATTATCATTTTCATCGTTAGGCACATTATCATTGCGTTCATCATAATCCATGGCATCTATGTGTGAAAAAAGATAAGATAGCTTTTGTTGATTTGATTTTCATGATCGTCATATTCCTTCACGTTCCCATTGATAAGAGAAGAATTATATTGGAATAGCTCCGTTCATTCCGTGTCACTTATCTACGTGATATATTTGATGTAGCAACAATGCTTTAGGACAGGTGGATACCATGTTAAGAATATCTCATTATGTCTTCTTATGTGATGACCGTATGTTATTCTTTTCCTTCCTCTCACTCTCATTAACCCTAGTAGTACCAGCGGGGGTCATTTTTTAATCGTCCCCCCCCCTTTAAAAATTTTTAAATATACTAAAAGTAATTTGTTTTCCCGAATTTGTAGAAATACATAGCATCTATCGTCAATATATAGATGTTGTTGAATCCGAATGAACATATATTTAGTTTCCAGATCACTGCTACCTATTGATATAGGGATATCTATTTAATCTATTATAAATATATGAAAGAAAAGTAGAAAAACAGAACTTGTTACGAGCAATCTTATGACTCATGAGAGTTCGATTTAAATATATATGTCCAAACGATTAAAAGCATTTTTAGTGGTTTTAAGCTATCCAATGACACAGGTGGATGATCGATATTATAGTAGATCATATGTATTATTGATAGGACTTGTCTTTTTTATTTTATATCTTTGGATAATAAAATTGAGATATTATACTGAAAGCGTTTAAAATCATGAGAAAAACGAAATAGTTTTTTATGTTCAATTTCACATACTAATATATTGTTCCCAGTGATCCACGTCTATCTATTGCTTAATTTATCCGTTACTTCTAAATTGAATTGATTCTCGTATAACCCGTGTTCCATTTCCGTAATATTATAATAAAGATTATGGACAATTTGAATGAAGAGAAAAGTGATAGCGACAATTCTGAAGATCAAGACAGTGGTTCAGAAACAGAAGATCACGAAAGTCGAACATCGGAAGATAATGACGACATTGATGTAGAAAATCTTAAATTAAATGATGATTCTATCATGAAAACTTCATATAGTTCCAGATCTGGTATGATGTGGTCATCAACCCCTCATCATTTAAGAAAAATAATCATTCGAATGATCCTATTACAAAACCTGGGCTTACCAAAATTACTAAAGATATTTCATCGATTGAAGATGCATTTAACTGCTTTATGTCAAAAACAATAATGCAAAAAATTTTGATTTATTCTAACATGGAATATCCTCGAAAAATCGCTTCTAATGAAAAACTGCAGGAAATAACAATGATGGAACTAAAAGCTTATATTGGTCTCTTGTTACTTGCAGGCTTATTACATCAATCAAAGAGAAACTTAAAATGTTTATGGAGAAGAAGTCCATTAGAATCTCCAGTATTCAAAGCCACGATGTCAAGAAGTCGTTTTCAGAAAATTAGTTCTTATTTACGATTTGATGATAAAAAAAACAAGAGAAAGAAAAAGAATAGATAAATTTACAGCGAGTCGTGAGATCTGGTCGTATTTTTAAGATAATTTAAAAACATGTTATATTACAGGACATAATATTACCATCGATGAACAATTGTTACCATTTAGAGGAAAATGTCCTTTTCGTCAGTTTATCCCCAAAAAACCTGATAAATATGGGTTAAAGCTCTGGTTATGTGTTGATGTAGATTCATATTATACATTCAATGCATTTCCTTACATCGGACGACAACCGGATCAGCGAAGGCAATCACACATAGTTGCCAAAGTAGTTTTAGAACTGCTCGAATCACTTTATGGCTCGGATAGGAACGTGACAATGGATAAATTTTTTCCAAGCGTTCCATTAGCTAGAGAACTGCAAATGAAAAAGATTACTCTTATTGGTACATTACGAAAGAATAAACCAGAATTACCTTTAGAATTTCAATCAAATAAAAATCGTGAAGCTGACTCTTCGCTTTTTGGTTTTGAAAACGACTTAACTTTAGTTTCATATGTACCAAAACATCACAAAGCAGTCTTATTGTTGCCTTCGAAACATCATGATAATTAGGTGGACAATAAGACCGGAAAGCCAATTGCTATTTTGGATTATACTAACACGAAAGGAGCTGTTGACAGTGCTGATCAGATGTGTCATAATTATACGGTAAAAAAAGTTTTATAGAAATGTTTGTGCATTATATTTCCTACAGGTAAAAAGAGGTAGAAAGCGGTAACTACTTTGTATCTTTTTTGGAATGATAGATATTGCTGGAATAAATGCCATGGTCGCCTGGATGACAAAAAATATCAACGTCGAATATTTTTGGAAGAATTAGGACTCAGCTTGGTATCACACTTGCTGGATTTTCGTTCGAAAAATGCGAAGCTCTTGAACAAAGACATTCAAAATGCATTAGCTATCCTTGATTATCCTGTGATAAAAACAAACCTAATGAAAGTAGATAAAATCGTACTCCATCGAAACGAAAACGGTGCTCACTTTGTGAACATTCTATGGATAAAAAGACTTCAATTCAATGTTGTAATTGTTCTGCGCTTGTTTGTAATGATCATTTCTTTAAACGTATTTTTTGCATAACTTGTTCAAAATAAAGCAAATCATGTTCATTTTCCTATCAAGTCACGTATAGAAATAGCATATTACATCACAAAATTTATCAAAAAAGAAAAAACAGATTGTTTACAAAACATATGTTGCCGACATAGTGCTAAAAATAGGCCAGTACTACTCGGGTAGATATTGCATGTACTTCCGTTTTTTAAAGCTATCTTCTTTTTTTCCTTTTCCTTGTTCCTTCACTTTTCTGCACGAATTTCAAATTAATATGATTTATGCTGTTCGAATATCTAGTCTGATAATGGACTTTTTGCCCCACACGTATCTCTCAATTGAAATCGTGGTATAAAATCATTTATGAACAAACCATTTCAAGGTCCAAAATCGCAAAAATCTTCTTTTCTAACACATCCTGAAGTTTTCGATCCAGATTCTCTGTGTTCGATATTGATTTTGAAAGTAGAAAAAGTTGAATATTATTTTTATACACAATTCAACAATATCTACTGTTAAGAGGCATCTGATTAATCGATGGTTGAAAATGAGAGGACAAATGAAACGAGCAAAATATGGTGTTAGAATCACTTCTTATTCACACGTACGCGTATACAGTGCATTGTATAACGTTGAAGAAAGAAATTGTAATGACAAACTGGTTGAGTAGCTGACCGCTTCTCACGGTATAGATGTTTATTGACTACTCTACATGACCAGAATGTGTCTACTTCACAATAAGTCACACGCTTATATAGAGAAGAGAGACATAGAGGGATGACCCAGAAATAATATGATATAGAGGTGAGAGAATAAAGAACAGAAAGAGATGAACGATATCATTATCGTTACAGAAATCCTCTCTTTTGGAGAATGATTTTTGAAATCAGAGTGATATGATAGCGAACGGGTTTGTTAGTGATGTGAAATAATTCTGCTATCTTCTCTTCTTCGATATTTCTGGAAGCAAAGTTGACTGTAATTTACTGTTAACTCGCATGCATTTATTGAAATTTTTCATTTTAACAATGAAGAAAAAACAAAGCTAGAATAATCCGTATAAGTGAAACAGCATTGAAATATGCAGAAAAAAAATCTTGAAAGAGAAACAAATAGACTAGAACGAATATTTTGAAATTGTGAAAACTGTTCTTTAAAATTTCTTTTTTTTTCATTCTGATTAAACCTGTGAATTTCGTGCCAAATATGGAAAGTTTAATGGAGATGTTGCTGACAATGGCGGTGGTTGTGGAGTGGGAATAATCTTCTCGCCAATAATTTTAGTCAGTTCAATCAGCTGACTTTGTGTTGCACCGCTTTTCATTCGATTACAATAAAACAGAAAAGCACAATATAAAAATGCAATTGACCCAATGATAATTGCA